AACACATAAAGCTACATCTATTTGAGAAAGGACAGCCTGCAAGCACTATCACAGAAGACAGGAAACACACGGTTGGCTATAACAGTGAGGGCAGAAAAATGGATGGTTAACATTGCTAGTACAAAATTCTAACTTCACAGTCTTAACTGCATTGAAGAGAAAAGGTGAAGTCACTTTCTTTTTTTTTTCTTTTTCTTTTTTTGCAAACTTACAGAAACAAGCACATGCAAAGAGCACTGGGTTGGTTTAATTACATTACGTGCTCATAGTTAAGGTTGTTTAAGTGTCTGCAAAGATAAATCAAAACCACATCAAGCAGAACAAATATCTAACATCAATCGGCTTTTATTTGCCTGCCTTGCAGCTTGTGCCTGTAGATGATTTAGATTCGAATGTCTCAGTTTTAAACTGAATTCTTCATTTCCATGTGAAAAGAGCCACTTGAGTACTGCACTGAGCAACGTTCTCGTTTGTGGAACAATGCGATCATGAATTATAAAATGTCCTCCTGCCCGATTAAGGTCAAGCACCAGTCACCAGCACAGTGCAGAGATTTATATTTAACCACGCCACACTGGTACCACTCTATTTTAACAGATTGTTCAGTCTTTCAGTAATCATGGGGGCTAGATGAAGATGATAAAATACCACAGCTATCAGTGGAAACCCAAAGTGGGTCACTGAGTCCTGGATCCAGGTTGTATCTTCTTGACTAAAGATACAACTTGCTGTTAGAGAGCAGTGGATATTCAGACATGCTTTTTAACATATTATGATTTTTTTCTTCATTATCTGGCTCCTTATTCTTTGAAATCTCACTTTTGATCAAAGCACAGGAAGAAAGACATGATTGGCACCTATCCAAAGCCTAAGCCTCACCAAACCTTTTTCTGTCAGGACACGCTGAAAACTATGCTTAATTTCATGCCAGATCTAACAGCATAATTGTCCAGATCAGCACTACAATAAAAGGGGAAAACCTGATCCAGGTTATAGACTAAACATGTGTGTCACCAGGAAATACTTAACAGTTTAATAATGTTTTTTTTTTTTCATTATGAATAACAATGGCCCCAGTTATAAAAAGAAGCTCTAAAATTAACTGAAGGTTGGACTTGTTCTGACTATAATTATAGCCACCGATCATTGTCTGGGTCAGAAACTACAAAATGACAACGTTTGGTCTGGTCTGGTCTATTTCAGTCAGCAGTTCTTTCTAATCATGGGCATCTGAAACCAGACTAAATTTAGAAGCAAGTTAAAAAAAAAAAGGACCAGGAATTGGACGCACAGTTTTTAAGCCACCAATAATAACAATTATATTCTGAAGACAGTCCAGTTCCCCTCCAGGGTTCGTAACCAGGCTGCATAAATCCATTATAGGTTGGATCTAACTCCAGAGAAAACACAGTTCCAAGTTCCTGTTCAAATCTGTACCAGTCTAATCCTGAACAATATTATCACATCTTCTGCTAGTCCCACAATAGAACTGGTTCATGCCAGTTTAATTCCAGGAGACACAACACCACCTTCTCCTGCAGGGAGGCTCAGTAGTAAATCTCATCCAGAATCCAGAATGGTGGCTAAAAACAAAATATTTTACATCTGTGACACTTCCCAGCCGCAGTCCAGGAGAGGTCCTGTATCCGTCTCCTTTTAAAGAGAAAATCACCTTTCTGTGCTTGTCAACTAAAACCCAGCTGAATCAGACAAGAATAAAGTCTCGTCTAGGCCACACAACAGTACCTTCTCCACCACGACTTTGACAGACTTTTCATCTTGTCCGGTGTCTGTCTTTGCTTTTTTCTGCGTTTCTTTTTCCCCCTTTGGTGCTTATGGGAGCTGTAGTTCTGCAGGCTGGCCAATATGGCTGTGTCAAACACTTCCTTGAGATTTTTTTGGGTCAGCGAAGAGCACTCTAAGTAGGCCACTGCTCCAATCTCCATCGCACAGTCCTGGGCATCCACTGGGTCCACAGGTCTTTCACGGTACTTCGCCAGATCGATGAGGACCTAAAGAAAATCACAAAAATATGAAATAAATATACTTACTAGTTTAAGCAAATAGCATCACATCACCTCAATACTATTTGTCTTAAAATTGCTTTTTACATTTTAATTGAGCCTTTTAAGGTATATCTGGATCTGACTTTAAGTTATATCTCTTTCCCCCTTGGATGCCTATTAGAGTCAAATCTCATCTTTATGGGGGAAAGACATACAGCATAAAAGTAGATCCAGGTGTGGCCCTTGTGGCTGTTTTAAAGTCAAGAGGGTGACTGCATGTTTACATGAGCACCGGCCTGAGGAGATCCTTCTCACAGAGTTAGTTATTGTTTTCCCTTTTCGGTCCTCTTAATCTGTATTGCCTGCTTTTAGTCTTCCTTTTTATAATTTTTTACATTTTTGCCTGTTTTGTATGTTTTTTGTCTAACCTCTTGTTTGTCTCTTTTTTTAAATTAATTAGTCTTATCTTTTTGCCTGTCTGCCAATTGCTACTTGCTGGAAATGGACTGACATTTGTACTGATCATTCAAAGTGCTTTAGAGTACAACAGATATATATATATATA